CTCTGAAATAAGTTGGTTATTCCCAACACATTATGCCTCTCGTGTTGATTCTTTTCATTTCCTAGGGTTGTCACCATAGTCACTTTCAATATTCAATTGAAGTTTGTCTTTTATCTGTAAGTTTGTTAGATGTTTTTATTTTGCATTATTTTTCGTTGACCATTTGTTGGCCCTAATGACCAATCTCGTGTTGATGAGCCGTTAAACATGTGATCGATAATAATAATAACTTCAGATTCTGCCATAATCAAATATCTGTATTGCTTGCAAAATAGACTAAGTGTATGTTTTAAATATAACATTTTATTGACCCAGTTCCATCAGCTGCTGAGTTCGAACCAAAGATGAATTTGAACCCAACTCGCCATTATTCCAATCTGACCTTGTTCAAACTTACATTGATTTCGACCATTCTATTAACAAGTCTAGTCTCTGTAATTTCGACAATAACATCAACATGGTTAGACCCTGTGATTTGAACCTTCAGGTTCGGTGCAAGAATGCGGTATACTACCAAATATCGAAGGAGGCGACTAACGTGGGGTCCACCAGCAGAATCTGGGATAGTTTCTTCTGTTTTTTTCTGTTTCTCATGCTTAGGTGACACCCAGAAATAAAGAACATAACTGTTGTGTCCCGATGCACGTTATTGCAAAAGACGACTTGTGTGACCCCTGCAGATTTTTTGTGCGACCAAACCTGATTCGCCAAACTCATTGCAGCTCTTGTGGTTTCTATCATTTAATTTTTGCGTACTCTTTTTTTTCTAGCCGTGTCTCTCTAAGCATCCATATTCAAATAACTAGCTGTTGCGAGGAAGTTGCTCGTACCTTTGAGGCGACTCATGTGGGACCTCTGCAGAATTGCGGGTTTCGCTCATGTCTTCTGCTTAGAAGCCATCAAGAAACCAAAAGTAAATATGCTGAGACCATTGTAACACTTGTTGTCTCTATCTTGTCTTTTCTCTCTTGTCGGCAGTCTTTTCTGCTAAAAAAAAGGCTGAACAGACCAAAATTGTGATTACAATGGTCGATCCCACAATATATCGGTTGGAGGTTGGGATGTGTAGGGGAGGGAGCGGGGGTCTGTACATTCTATGGATGGGAGGTTTCATTCTAAAAGAGAAATATGTGCGAAATGGTTTTTAAAGAAATTGACATACTTGGAGGGTTTCCTTTACGCCCGGAAAATCTACCACTGATTTATATGAAATATTGTTATTGTTTTATCTGTATAAGTTATCTATTTAATTATTCTGCAACTGCAACCAAAACAATATAGAACCTGCACTTTACCAGCAGCAAAATGATACCAGACAGTCACTGCCACTGAATCGCATGTTCATATACCACCATACCAGGTGGCTGAAAATAGCAAGTGCTTTTGTTAATTTGTAGGTAGATAACATACTTTCGGGAACAAAAACAAGAGAAAATTCTGGCAGAGTTTTACAGACTAACGAGTTGTTTCATTGACAGCTTGTTAATTTGTAAAACAGCAGCGCGTTTTCACTGCCAAATTGATATATTGAGAAACAAGTAATTAATGATAGCGTAAAGGGCAAACACCAGGCTTGTTAGTCAGTGATATTAGGTTTATAAATCACTTCTTCATCATGTTAAAAATACAGGCCTATATGTATATAATATATAACGAACACATTTCACCATACAACAGGAACTGCTGATCAAAGCCTGTTTAGGTAAGTGAGAATCAGTAAAAAAAAAATATCAGTTATACTTTTAACGTTAAACATATGTTTCTCTCACTTGCTTGTTTTAACCAACATTAACCAATATGGAAGCCAGTGGATGTTGTATCCTTTAGTTTATATACTGTAAAGTGGGAATTTCCACGGTGTTGAAATATTGGTGTTTCTACAAAAGATCACTTATCATTACCCCATATTTATGTTCAATCTGCTTCCGGAAAATTTAAACCGAACAGATAATATTTATTTGCTGCCGCCCCTAATTAACCACCATTTCAACCCTTGCAGTATAATCTTTCAAATTCTTTGATTCTATTTTTATCGTTTTCATGACGCTTGTATTGGCACCCGTTTTTAAGATGGCCTAAATGAATTGCGACCACCATTAAATTAAAACAAAGAAACAAAATGACAAACGAAGCCTATTTCTAGTACATGTTGCGATCACGGATCACTAAATCTTCCGTTCGACGCAGATGTTGCTAATTAACCAGTCGACCTCCGGCCCAGGTCAGACAGCCATTGTTTCTGTGTGTTCTTAATTTCCCCAATTCAACCATGCACTTGTCTTCTACATTGACATCGACGTGTTATGTTAAGCGTTCACAGGAACTTGAATTTCTGGAAATCCGCCATATTGAAATGTGTGGCAGTGTCTGTTATCATCAACCACGTAGATGGCAAATATATTTATAGATATATACTTATATCTATCCAAGAGCCATTTACCTAACTGTTATCGGGACCAAATCAGTTTTGTGCATCAAAACGAAGACAGATGGAGGCAATCATGACAACGATGTAATATGATGTTACAACATATAACTCTGTTGCCATGGTGACAAACTGTTCTGTGTGTCCCCTGTGGAGGTACAGAGGCACAATAGGGGATAATATTAAACATTAAGAATCGGTATTTACTTGGACAATTGGTAATTTTATGTTCTTGCTTTTTAGATTACATTGTGTATATTGTAAAGATAATCATAGCAGTAAACATAGTGATGCCGTGGTATGTTATGTTCGTGATTTATTCAGTTGCATTTTAGTTTTAGACAAACCGTAAAACAAAACAAAACACAAAAAAAATGAATTATAAGATATATTTAAAATGTTCAATGAATTGTGACAAACTGATTATAAAAACGATTTTTTGGAAAATATATTTATATCAAAAAAGGCATATTTTGTACAACCATTTCACGAGAATTATCATTATATTTCCTTAATCTAAATCATAGCACAAAAGAATATTAGAATAAAATACACTCAGTATAAACTTGGATTGAAATTTTAATTTCTTGAAATGTAAATTAATGATTGATTTTGAAAGTTTTCAAAGCATTATGATTATGTGTAACCCTTTCATACCCTTGTGTTAGTTCAAAGTAATCATCATTATGACATGTCGTGTCCATTATAACCGTTCAAAGAAGAAGGCACAAAGAAAACACCTGTCGCTTGAAATATTATCACTTAAACAATTTGACACAAATACATAACCGACTTTACCACTCAAGTTAACGAAGCTTAGACACAACCCTGTCTTATACCATGTAATAACTCAAAGTAATAGCCAAACGTTCACAACCCTTCAGTTTTCCATGTAACAACTCGAACTTATGAACATAAACATACATCCCTGTCGTGTACCATGTAACAACTCGAAGTAAAAAACCGCTAAAAAACAACCTTGTCGTTTCCATTGTTGTCACATAAATTAATAGACACAAAGACATATCCCTGTGATATACCTCGTAATAACTTGAATTAAAAAGTAAATAGTAAAAATTAATATCAAGACAAATTGATTTCGTAACCAATGTTGTCACCGAAATAACCGACAAAAAATCACAACCCTGTTGTTTCCCATGTTATCACCGAAAGAAATGGACGCGAAGTCTAAACATGTCGTATTCCAAGTAATCGGTTATGAACGTAATAGATACATACACATTACCCTGCCGTATCCCATATAACACCTTAAAGTAAGATACACAAAGAAAAACGTCTGTTGTATTCCCTTCAACCAGGTCGACGTAAAAGACAAAATTACATAAACCTACTGCATCTTATGTAATCGCTTATATAAAGCAAAAGTCACAGAGACACAACACTCGCATAAAATAAATTCGCGCAGAATGCAGAGACGAGGTAACAATTCTGTCGGACCCCCTTTAACCTGTTCAAAGTAACGATACAATAGCATAGCCATGTCTTATCTCGTCCTCTGCAAACTCCAAAGGTCATAGACACAAAAAACCCACAATCCTGATGAAAACATGGCTTCATTTTCAGAAATCAACCCTATTGTGTCCCCCTAGAATTACTGAATTTGATATTAACACCACCACCCTTTAGTGTCCTCCTCATCAGAAGGGTGGTGGGAGGTAGCTGGATGGAAGATTTCCAAATCAGTTAATAGTCAGGAAAATGAGAGTTCTGTAAGTGACAATATTGGTTGAGACACTATGGTTAAAGAAGAGTGCATTATGATTAAAGAAGAGTGCAAAATCTTCTTTGCACAATTGTGGCAGTCACTACACACTCTCCTTGGTAACACATTAGCACCTGGACTCCATTTACTTAACGCAACTGTTTGTAAACGTCTGACTAGCTAATTGGGTAATACGTTTTATGTAGGAATTAATTCGATAGTTAATTTATTAATCTAATACCGGATAAAGTTGATTTGTAAGTTTTCGTTCCTCTGGCATGTTATTAATTATAAATGTACCCGCGCTGCTATCTAACGAAATTGTACAATGAAATAATGTCTGAGCATTCCAATGTGCTATTGAATGGGGGCATGGTAATGATTATTTGCTCGTATCATATAGATGTACGTACAGTAGCATAAAAACATCATCAGGAAAAATTGGATAACATGAACATACCAAACACATACCTTTACATAAGGCAATACCGCTTGATATTGTTTGTAGCGAACTCGGCTTTACGGAATTTCCCATTTATCTTCTTTTTATTTCTGTTGAAATTTATTTAAATATTTGTATAGCATCATCTCGAAAATCGATCGGCACAGCAACTTTATTAGTTGAGTTAACTCAGATTCTGCTGTTGTATTAAAAATAAAATACGTTTAAATCATATACGGAAGTCATGGAATTGTGAACAATGTCAATATTTGGAAGTGATAAAGAGGCGAAAGGTAATTTTCGATTAAGTTACAATATAAATTATCTCCTCTGACTAGTGACAAGCCAGATGTATTAAAAGATAAGTAGCTCTGTTTAACATAACGCCATCGTTATATTTTGTTTTCTAGGTGGTCGGCCTGATGAGTATGATCGTTGGAGTCCTCCTGGTAGCCCTGGCTACAGCGGGCAGCAACTGGGTAAGAGGCGATAATAAAATGGAAGGTCTCTGGGCCGTGTGCTACGATGACGCCAATGAGACCGGTGTCATCAACTGCTCGGACAATGAATCACGGATAGGATCTCTAGGTAAGGTCTTCGCAACTGGTTTTGGTCAGATATGCGCAATTATGGTTTGGATTGGTTTGGTTTATAGGGGTTAACGTCCTACCAACAGCCAAGGTCATTTAAGGACGTGCCTCCATGTGTGTTGTGTATGTGTGAATATGTGTTTGTGTGCCAGATGTATCGTATGTTGGTGTAGTTTCCTCCTTGAGATAGCGCGGATCTGATGCCGACTTTATAGTGCTATCACACTGAAATACAATGCCGAAGGTACCCAAAACACTGTATTCCACCCGGTCACATTTTGAATATCACTAGTAACCAGTCATGATCTAGTGAAAGATTTACCGTCTTGGATGTCACATCTACCGTTGAGATAACCATAGTGTTTACCACTGTCACTGGTCTCTCCTGACACTGGGGAAATAAGTTAAAACATCAGGTTATCTGATTTTGAATTAAGGACTTTATGATTATATCAGTTAAAGGGACATAAAAACAAAGTATTCAAATAGAATAAAATATGCAATACATACGCATTCAAATGACGTTTACTTTTTCAGTTTCTTTCTGTTATCACTACGGTCATCAATTCACAAAGGATATTATCATCCAATGGCGATGTTTTTTTTGAATCGATGTTTTCTTTAATTATATCGAAGAATACTTTTGCTTCCATTTTCGAAAAATTACCTTAACATTTCAGTGCAATGTTGAAATATGTCTATTCACGTGCCTCTTTCATTTTTTTTCTCGAAGTATTAAACCTTGACATATTGTTTATGCTTGGATTTCGCAAAATTTATTTCTGCGATAATGTTTTAAATATTCTTTTGTGATGAGTTGATTACTGGTACTGCAATATAACATGGGTGTATCTTTTCCTTAATTGTTTGTTAATAAAACTCGCGAGTTATCGATTAGGCACCAGGAAAACGCATTCTTGTTGCAGATGAAACTAACAATAGCGTGATAGTTTCTTATATAAATCAATATACTACGTAATATTACCTACCGGTAGTACAATAAATGGGTTCTAAGTATGAAAAAAGTTGAAAACGACTTACAAACAACTTGAGAATGAGTTTTCTCATATGGGAATGTATTTTCTCAAAAAAGGACGTTTGCTCACTCCAGGTGACGTCTTTAACCAGGAATTGTATCCACACAAATGTGTTCCGTGTAAGAAAATCGTCCTTCATAAACAACTGATTATAAGATTATGAAAAGAAATATTGTGAGGATAACAACATCATTTTAAGCGAAAATGTTCATATGTAGAAGACAATGACGCTACTTTTGTTTAAAAACATATTACTACATAGCTTTAAGGTTCATGGTATTCCTCCGCGGAAACCTTCGTTTTGTTTACGTTTACAGACCAAGGAACTCGATAATCATTAAGCATAGAAGAAAATTGGAAGATATGGTATTAGTTGACTTTTTATGAATGGAGAATTACAGATTATAAACACACAATGTTTTCAGGGTTTGTCGTCAGAACAATGTTCTCATCGCTAAATCGAGAGGCCAACGCGGAATCTATACTTCTCACAAATCACATCTATTTCACACTTATTCTCGTATTGTTATACGTTTCAGATATGTTTATTTAGAAGCATTTTTTTCGTTGTCCCTTTCGCAAATTTTTATACTTAAGAAGTTTCTTGGAGAACAAAATCAAAAGTACAGTCAACCCTCTTTGATCCAGTACCTACTAATCCCTTTGTCGCTCTATCTAAACAGTGTTTAAGAGTCATTGTTCTCCAACCTTCAAATTGTCACCGTAACAAGTCTTTTTGCGATGTAGTCATTATTACGTGAAGAACGTTAGCTGCATTTCACGAAAATAAAATTATTACCAAAGGATATCCAATTTTCGCTTATTTTTTTCTGTTTTAAATTTACATTTTGTTTGCAGATTGGATGGATGCGTGCCGTGCGTTGACGATCGTCGCTCTGATGGGGGGCTTCGCTTCGTTCGTCGTAGGAACAATCGGAGTAACAACATCTGACCTTAAACTGAAGCCATGCTTTTACACGACGACTACAGTGTTGATGTGGCTATCAGGTAAGAGCATACCCTGTCCTTGTCATGTTTATGGCGGATATATATTTAAATTACACCAAAGATGGCATTAGAAATGTCAGATTGCAGACATTTTGCGGAAATAACTGATGTCAGTATACACCAAAGGAGGTAGGCAGTTTTGTCGTTTATGAAACAAGTTTTCAACAGTGTCCATAACAGACCAACAGAATAACACATCGCCTGCTGTATTACCAGATAATGCACATCCTACAAATCTTTCAACTAAATTAGCCTTACATACGTACAACAATGCATATCAATTAACTGGTTTACTGTATGGAACCAGGCACCTACATGTATATATATATGTTGTAAATATTCCTACTGTATCGTTCTGGTTGGTTATCAGATGTTTTATCGTTGTAGCGATTCCCCTTCTCACCACGTTGTGCGTATTCGTCACGAGATTCGTCAAGGAAAACCAGCCACAGACATGGTCAGTCGGTTGGCCATTTGTATTTGCCTTGATCGCCTTAGCTCTCTACATCTTAGCCGCGATCATTTTTGCCGTGGACAGAAATGCTGATGAGATCTTGGTGTGTGAGGTGAGTACGGCCAATGCAGAGGAGGGTATCGAAGAAGAGGCTACTGATGTCTAAAAATAATCTAAAAGAATGACGGATCAATTCCAAAGAAGATTAAAACTTGAGTGAGCATGTTCGCGACCACTATATGAAAAACAGTTTTTGAAGAAAGTCTATGCGAACCGAACTGGTGTAATGTTCTGTGGAAATTTTCGAAATGATTCCAAAGAGCAAAAGTGTTACCGAACGAAAAAAGGAATTCCTTATGACCGGAAGCAATCAAGCTTGCTCATTTCCGGTAAAGTGTCAAGGTCATATGTGAGTTTGAGTGTCAACAAGGGCTTATCAGCTACCTTGACAGGAGTGACGTCACGAGTGAAACCCAGCAGTGAAACGGGACTCAGAACTACCTGTAAGACTCAAAGAACCACAGTATTCCGTGTGCAGAGAGTGCTTTGCACTTTACCCAACGTCAATCCGTCCCGAAACGCATCTTCCGCCCAAAGTGACGCCCAAATGTGACTTACGAAGTGTTGCTGTGATATTTTTGATTTCTGCTATTTTGATATATAAACTGTACGTTGTGTGAAAGCTCCCTATATATAACATGGATGTCTTCTCATCATTATGCCATCGGATTACTTGCAGTCTTGGAACAAATGAGACCACCACGGGTAAAACCCTTGTGTCAGGTGTACAAAATGCAATATAATTATTATTTATTATTGAATGGATGCAAATTTCAGCAAGGTTAAAATATGTGCATATATGGAAGCAAACGTGAAGTGATGTAATGGATTATGACGTATATAATGTGTGATAACATATAGATGACGGTCATAAATGTCTCAATGTGTCTTACACATGGGTACATGACTCTTCCGAAAATTACTATACTTGAAAAATATTTGGCTTATCTACAGCAAAATATATTAATCTGTTTTTTTATAAGAAAACCGCATTCATTAATACATGACGTCACATGACGTCATCAAAATAATATGTGTGACGACGACTTAATTACGCACACTTCACGCGAAGGATCCCGCCAATATGCCACATTGGCTTTCTCGAGTTGCCTATATCTCAAGTAACTGTTTGAGGGTGGAGTATTTAACCTGGATTTCTTTTGTCCTCTTTGAAATTTGCCATTTCCCCTTATCCTTTCCAGAATCGTTGGAGTATGTACAGAATAGGCGACTCCAGAAAATAGTGGTTGTTTGGTACTGGGGCCAGAAATGACCAATCATAATAGTCTAAGGTATCACGTGATCTAAATCTGACATATAAATGTACGAAACTAAAGATATAGAAGTTATGTCGCATACATGCTCAGGGAAAGCTGTTGCATTATTAACTATTTAATATTTGCATGGATTACAGCCAAAAGGATGTCAGTCTGTGAGGGGTCATCTGTATCTCAGGTTTGCGTCTAACGCCTCCACACCAATAACAAATATTTATAATTGTCTAGTTAGTGGAGAAATCCTACAATGCGTTTGAAATATATTTTTAATCAATTATGAATAGAATATCCAGTGTTTGTTATTCTGCGTAGGAAGGCATGCCATTGTGCATCATCGCGGACATTATCGTATCACGGAGTTTAAAATATTAGTAATAGTATTTATACGATCCCTTATAAACAGTCATCCTTTTATTGTTAGCAGATGTGATAATATCATTGATCTTGATATGTTTATTTTATAAACCGTACATGAATGTTGGCATGGCGGTGTTATAAGCCTGACAGAATGATTATATGTATATAACCGCCACTGCAGCAGTTTCTAATTCGTCTGTGTTTTACTCAATGTGGCATGGATGACAGAATCTATGTCTGTATGAGATTGGCACTAGCTTTGTACCTCTTGTTAGTAGTGGTAGGGGCCCCCGACAGGGTGCACGGAGAAATCAAAAGAAAAATGAAAACGTAAACGTAATGTTGTGATAATCAACAAACATTCTTGAGACCCCGACTCCATTGGAACCCGTCATTGGTATTCATACGTTGGCTTGTGGTTTCTCTGGTGGCAGATGTCGGAATGCGTTAGGTAACGTGTATGTAACATTTACCTACCCAATCACGTATACGTGAAGAACGTTCGGGCGAATGTTGTGTAAATGTTGTTTCAGTTATGATAGAGAATCATGCATACGTGCATTCCTGTTACGTCATCATGAATTGTTTGCCGAGTGATGCGCGTCTGTTTTCGATCCTATATCCCCGCAATTGAAACATTGACGCGCCGTCGTTTCTACGGCCTATGCACCTAGATACTGCAGTTTTGATTAACGACCTTGGTACATGTCGTTCATTGTTGCAAGCTACTGTACAGGTGATAGCGACTGGCATTTCTATTATATAACTTGGCTCTATCACCCCAAAACATCATTATGTAGGTGCATTTCTATCTCGACTGTAAAAAATAGAATATCATTTTTATTATGATAACATATGAAACGATGAAAAGTTTGAGGGCTCTACAAACTCAGGGTTAATCAAGTTCCGCCTCAGCCCCGCAGTGAATGCAGTTTTATTTTTTGCTTTGCCTCTTCAGACAGTGAATTACATATCAAATTAGAAGCCTGTATATGTTTACATATCTTGGTATATGCATTAAGAATGCACTAGTGCTAGATTATACAAGCTAAAAATATAATGCGTTGGAGATAAACAAGAACGGAATACAGAGCCAAGTGGTAGTCGCCACACAGCAAACAAAATAACACTAGGAGGCAGGGACATCAACAAATAGCTCCCAGGGACAGAGATAGTACAGAGTTTATGTTGTACGTCGTGTAACAACAGAAGGCTGTAAATGTAAGCCGCCCTGCTGTTTTTATAGTATAACTTCACTGCAAGTCATTTGCGGACATAGTCTACTCAGGTCGTCGTCGAGATATACCTTACTAGGGAACTAGTGAGAATGGTTCGTTTCAGGAACCATAGATGTGGCTGTCATGTTTAGCGTGGATTAGATTCACCCGTGAATAGAGATTTTGTCAAGCCTCGTCAGCAAACAAACAAATCTACCAAACAGCCGCCCATTGTTTGTTTGTCTGATTCCACTCGCTTGAATGCCATTTATCTCATAGTTCTTATGTTTCTTATGGTTATTAACTTGCTTGCTATATTTGTTTGCTAGGCTCTACCTACTTGACATCGATGTCCACAAAATTAATCTTTATATTAATACAGTGATGAAACAAAGTTTATAAACTTATATTAAAAATCTTGCTTGCCCGGATGAATCGCGCAGAGGGTATTAATGAAGGAAGAAACTGTAAAACCCAGATAAAGCAAACTTGGTCAGACAGGCTACCCCTTATACATTTTCAACCGATCGGGGAAGAATCGAGCTCCGAAGGTCCCGGTGAAAGGCGAGAGAGCAACTCACTGCGCCATCCGGCCGCCAAGAGTGATCTAAATGCCACATACTAGTACTTAACGTCAATATCTGCTTAATGCCACGTTTTTTTTTATGTCAAAGTCGCGGCTAGCTGCCACTTGCTCGATACCAATACCTGCCAGTTGCCACATGTCGATATCTCCTCCCTGTCAGTTGTTTTGATGCCACAATGCCGTCTCTACCTTCATCATCTATCAGTTGACGTTTTTTGTAAATCCCTGATGGTCAACATCTGCTTGTTATAATTGTTTGCTATCATTTACCTGCTACTATAACTTCCTGTTTGTTTGATGATGTCTATGATCTATAGTTGAACTATACTTACGCTTTTTTATGTTACCTGCTCGCCGCGACATACTTGTTGCCAATGCCCGCTATTATATTTAGTGTTAATATCTGCTGGCTTCCACTTACTTGCCGTCAAATTCTAATGGTTACCACTTGCTTGCCGTCAAATTCTAATGGTTACCACTTGCTTGCCGTCAAATTCTAATGGTTACCACTTGCTTGCCGTCAAATTCTAATGGATACCAATTGCTTGCCGTCAAATTCTAATGGTTACCACTTGCTTGCTACATTTGTTTGCTAGCCTTTACCTGCTTGTTATCATTACCTACTAGCTACTTGCTGACCGAAAGAGCGGTGTCCCTGTCTAACTGTTATCTCATTAATTTGGACACATTTCCCTCGAACTTGATTCTAAAGTAAGATTGCATAATGACAATTAGTCAAGAAAACTGTCAAAACAGTCAGTCATTAACCGAAATCACCAGATCACTTCGACAAAATATCGAGAACAATTTGTTTACATTGATAAAAAGTATCTGAATACATTGATCATGTCATAGAAATGAGTGAAGGTCATGACCGCGTGAAGCACGTGAGCGCGTGAGAGAGTAAAATTGTACGTAACAGGATATATACAAAGTTTTGATAAGAAATATGTGTTTGGAAAAGCCACGTTACCCTCAAAACCATTTATGGTTTTTCCCTTCAAGATTTCCATATTTTTGTTATGTTGATTTTTGAAACCCAGTGTATAATTCAATTGTTTCTAGCCAACGTTGGTTAAATGTTTTCATTCAGTTTTTAAATAAATTTTATCCCTTTTCTTCGTTTTTGTGTTCTTTTCCATCACATCATTGAGACTAGCAATGCATACATATGCACCAATGGTTATTTACAGGGACCAAGCATAATGGACATGAAACCCGTGCAGGTTCGGGGAAAGAATAGACCTGTTGTATGTCATTGAATGATCGTACGATGCGACTAATGTGGTCCCCCTGAAGATTCGGGGGTGGTTCATTGAAGAAATTAGAATAAATCTGCTGTATCCCACTGCACGTGCATCGTTAAAGGCGGCTTGCAGAATCGGGGCTTTCTTCTTTGTCTTCTACGAAGGGAACATGAAACAGACCAAAATTGGTCTACTGGCCCCAATGCAACACTTTGGATCTTTTTCATTTCCTATCGTTCCTGTCTTCATTCTTTTCTTTCTACTTTCTCTTCCCGTAGGTGTCTCCCTAAGCACTCGTCCTCATATGACCCTGGCTGTTACTAGGACGTCAAACCTAAAACAAACAAACAATGCACATGTGATATAACTTTTGATCTTCGAGATGCATTCAATTGACATTCATAGTCAACAAGGATGCTAACAAGAGCCTTTCAAAATTTGGGTTTTAATTATCTGTTAAATGCCCCTTAGGGATTGTCCTCTCTTCGATTTTTTTTTTTTTTTTTTTTTTGTAAACATGCACCCTTTTGCCTCTTAGGGTTGAATCAGGAATTGGACATTTCAAGAGTTGTTTTTAAGAGAGAAAAAAAATAGAGAACGTTATAAGATTTATCAGTTTGGACATATGTAATATCATAGTTTTACTTTATACACAAACAATGTACGTATTAAACGTGTCACAACGTTTCATGACCGAACTGTCATAGCTTGACAAAGGGACCAGTTGGTCATGAAACATTTCGACACGTTAAAACGTACCCTGTTTGTACATGATATACAACTTTGATATATAATCGAGCACCTTGAAGAACACCTAGTTACATCCCAATATAAAAACACCAAGTGATTAAATACATATTAGTCAATTGTCTTTTTACAACTGGCATATGGCTATGCTAACCAACACAATAAGTCTTGTTTTTATTAAATAATTCATCTATAATACCTCTTCTATTTTGCAGTGGCGGATCCAGACTGTTTTGTAATATATTACCATAAAAATGGCCAACTAATTGTATAAAAACTAAAAAAGGAATAAAATGCATATCAACACGTTCGGAGTAGACAGGGTGACATATCTGAACCCTTTCATATTTGTTTAAATTGTATTATTTCTAATACGTCTTGTAGTTTATAGTTTACAGCCGGTCGAATAAGGTCATATATGCTTCATATCAAAATGTACGTACTACGTTAATACATTATTCAGGTCGTATGTCTATAATAAATAGGCAACAAAATAACTTCATTTTCCTATAATGTATTAATTAGATATACAAAATTCCGACTTTAATGCCTCAGAGGACCACAACGGATAGGCGTGAATGTTTGCAGAAATAAAGTTGAAGGTTAGGACATTATGAAATGCTGCTTCGGTTTTGGGTCAACCTGTCCCTGTATAGATAAATGAAGGTGATGAAGTTGAAAATTGTGATAATTCATTTAGATTATTAAAGAAAAACTAGAGCATCGATTTTGTTTTCTTACATGGTAGATTTTACCATATTCTACCTGGTTATTTATTCATTTCAATATTTCACAATTGTATTGGTTGAAGTTAAAACAACATTTAAAAAAATCAAAAAATCAAAAAGTAATGCAGAATGTGGGGTACCTTGTTTGATGCTTCTAATCCCACTAAATAACAAAAGAAGTGGAGTAATTTGGCCTGATTTTGATCATTATGGACTGGGCAGCAGTGATGTGTTTTAATAACTTAACATAAATTATACCATATTCTGCCTTTCGTCACCTTTACCCTCGCATTGTCCTATACAGGGACTGATCGATCGAAAAAGGAAACCCTTTTTCGTTATGACAAAATTGATGCAAAAGAAATAGGCTTATCAGTTATGGCCCACTGAAGCCTTACAATTAGTCAGGTAGGCACCCTCCTTTGATGGTAGTTTGTTTTATTTAACTGAGTAAATAGTTTATAACACTTCTAGAGGGGGGGGGGGGGGGGTTTTTTGTTTTGCCAACAGAACAGAAATATTGTCATCCTGTTAGTATCAGAAGAGATATAGAGGTATACAACACATGTATGTCAATAAACTATTTTCATTATATTTCCTGATCGTCTTAATCATTATGTTAATTATATCTTGTAGCCTATAGAAAGTAAACAAGCGTGCTATGCTTTCTATAAAATTATCTTCGGCTCCCAGTCGTTACTCCCCAAAATGTCACACTTTCTAATGGCAGTGCAATATGAATAACCATTTCCATTTCATATATTACTTCACGTGCGGGCTACATAGCTCACATCTGTAATAGTTCTTCAGGTGTGATTTACTTCATGTGATTCGCGTAAACAAATCTTTGTTTAAAAATTCTGTTATCATTGAGCCTAGAATTCATTTAGAAGATATAGTATTTAGTTGACTTTCCGTGAATGGAGAAATATATAAGGAAGTGGTATATAGATGATAAACAGTTAATCATACAAAGTGTTCAAGGTTTGTTGCTCGAACAATTGCGGTGGCACCTCGAAGGCACAATTATCAGTATTGATGGAGCCTTTGTATACTTAAAAAGAAGAAGAAGATCAAAAAGAAAAAGAAGAACTGAAACAAATATCTGTTAAAATGTTCATTATCATATCAATTAACTATATAAATAGAAAACAAAAACAAAAAACTCCCAAAGTTTAATCTTTTGTACGTTATAGAAGATTAAGCCTAGATATTTGGCAATTTTTAACTGCTGTTCGTCAAGGAGCTATATTTCACAGAAACAACAAATAATTAACGCATTCCCTGCTCATTTTAAGATTCCTTCAGTCCTTCGAAGTAAAGTCGTTACACAATTTTGAACCAAAAAAAATATAATTTCGTATGAATCACAAAGTGTACGTTTCCCATTGACATCCATGATAACGAATTTCGACTGGGAGAACCTCAGTGCTTCTATTTAATGTTTCTTATTTCATTTTTTTTTTTTTTATCAATATGTATTATTTCGTTCAAAAAATATCTTATAAAGTACACATGTGTATCTGGAAAAGTGGACATTAACTTGAAGGTTGGAAGGAAGACATAATAACCTAACAACAGCCAATTTGACCGAGACAACGATGGGCTCTGCCTTATTATCATGTTGGCGGTATTCTCAAAAACATACTTGTATATCGACGCTTCGGTGATTTCCCTTTGTTCTTGTTCTAATTCAGACTTTCATTGCATATTCAAAAGTTATGCACTAAAAGTGGAATATCTGCGGGATAAATTTCTTTTTCTGACTAAACGTTCGTTCGTCTTGATCGAAACAAGCAAATCCTCCCTTCTTTCACGTTCCCTCCTGCAAAAATGTTAAACACAGTTTCGTGTTGTCAACTAACCGTAATCAAAGAACAGTAAGTTGATTACAGTACTGTTCTAACGCAGTTATTGAGACTAATGCTCAAAGCATCCCCAAATATCTGTCCAACTCTGTCCCTGTCTGTTGATGTTACAATTAAGTACCCGGAAGTCGCAATAATAATAATATACAACATTTGATATAGTGCCCTATCTATCTAGAATAAACCACTCTAAAGCGCTTTACAGTACATAGATATACAATTTTATACAATCAATACAATTAGCATGTATTTATACATTAAGCAATACGAATTGAGGAATTCGAATAATTGAGGAGTTCGTAGGAGCTGCCTTAAAAGGCGCTAACTGCTAGTCCTATGCCCCCTATACTATGTGTGTATGCCTGCGTGTGTGCTCTGCTGGAGATGTAATGTGTTGTTTGAAGTGGGACGCACGGTGCTTCCAATGGTATAATTTATAGTGCCACCTGACTGGAATGCTACAGCACAGATACCCCAGACCTAGTTCGAATGACTCTGACGTTTTATCGACTTTTGTTTTTATATCGGTCTGTCGTCGTTAATCGACGACAGATCGATATAAAAAAAAATCGATAAAGTGTCAGAATAATTCGGACTACCCCAGACCATATTATACTCCACCTGGGTTGTTGGAGTTGTGTGGGCAGGAGTAAAACATGTACACTTTCTATGAAAATTTCATGCGTACGACGATCGAACACCGGCTGCCTGCGAGGAAGGCCGGAGTGTTAACCACTCTACCAATCCGCCCGTAACCGATTGACTCCGAAATTCTTATTCTTGTGATCTTTGAAATGTATTCGTTTACATAAAGGCAGAAGTAATAGATATAAGAGAACTATGTACATGTAGTTCATAGACATTAGTAAAATATCTGGCCCAAACGCGTACGGAGTTAGCCAAAGAGTTAAGAAAATGTAAGCTAACTGTAGCGGAACACGCTTATGTTACACAAATGAGTCAAAGCAATCGAATAAATACAGCACAAACCCATTACTGAATTGTCACGATCTGAAAAAAAGTCATTAAAATAAAAAGATAAATGAAAATTTAATATATATAAATTGATCAATACAATAAAGAATAACACATGAATAACTAAGAAAATTAAGGATTTATGCATCAACTCAACTATTCAGCTATCTTTTCAGCAACCTTACAGTTCGATCCTTGAACTCCAGACGGTTAAACCATCGCTCTTACCTTGAGCCACCTGGTCGACAGAAGTGTCCTTACCCAATTATAAACGGTAGTTAAGGGGAGACTACTGCATGTAGGAAAAACTACATTGCAGAGGGGATCCTTGAATATATGTAATGAACACATTTTTAATACGATAGAGACGATGTGTGATTAAAGGAAGACAACTCCTCTGTCTCTATGACTCATTGACAGTGTAATACTTAGTTAAAATATTGTTTTAATTACTTTACTTATAAACAATGTAAAAATATCAGTTATCATAATCGTAACACCCGCATTATATTAGATTGTTTAACCATAGTATTCGGAACCTTAACAGTTAATGAGTTTAAATTTTGATGCATTTTTAACTATTCATATCATCACATATGTATTTATCAAACATCTATTCATAACATTTTTGCATACATTGTATGTGATAATGTCTAACCCCCTGTGGTAAAACTTCCGGTCAGCCGTTTGATACATTTCTAGATCGTAATTATATATATATGTGCTAAATAATAGTTAACCTATGAACATATCCACATCCTTCTCCGTGTCACGGAATTAAATATCATCCCCCGTGACACGGAATTAAATACTCTTCCTCGTGTCACGGACTTGGATATCCTCCCCGTGTCACGGAATTATATATCATCCCCAGAGTCACGGACTTTGATATCCTCCCCGTGTCATCGAATTAGATATCCTCCCCTGTGTCACGGAATTAGATACCCTCCCCCGTGTCACGGAATTATATATCCTCCTCCGTGTCACGGAATTAGATACCCTCCCCTGTGTAACGGAATTAGATACCCTCCCCCGTGTCACGGAATAAGATATCCTCCCCCGTGTCACGGAATTAGATACCCTCCCCCGTGTCACGGAATTAGATATCCTCCCCCGTGTCACGGAATTAGATACCCTCTCCGTGTGACGGATTTAGATATTCTCCCCCGTGTCACGGAATTAGATATCCTCCCCCGTGTCACGGAATAAGATATCCTCCCCGTGTCACTGAATTAGATATCCTCCCGCGTCGCTGAATTAGATACCCTCCCACATGTCACTGAATTAGATTCCCTCCCACATGTCACGGAATTAGATATCCTCCCCCGTGTCACTGAATTAGATACCCTCCCACATGTCACTGAATTAGATTCCCTCCCACATGTCACGGAATTAGATATCCTCCCCCGTGGCACTGAATTAGATACCCTCCCACATGTCACGGAATTAGATATCCTCCCCCGTGTCACGGAATTAGATATCCTCCCCCGTGTCACTGAATTTGATACCCTCCCACATGTCACTGAATTAGATACCCTCCCACATGTCACTGAATTAGATTCCCTCCCACATGTCACGGAATTAGATATCCTCCCCCGTGTCACGAAATTAGATACCCTCCCCGTGTCACGGAATAAGATATCCTCCCCGTGTCACTGAATTAGATATCCTCCCGCGTCACTGAATTAGATACCCTCCCACATATCACGGAATTAGATATCCTCCCCCGTGCCACGAAATTAGATACCCTCCCCGTGTCGCGGAATAAGATATCCTCCCCGTGTCACTGAATTAGATATCCTCCCCCGTCCCTGAATTAGATACACTCCCACATGTCACGGAATTAGATATCCCCCCACATGTCACGGAATTAGATATCCTCCCCCGTGTCACTTAATTAGATACCCTCCCACATGTCACTGAACTAGATACCCTCCCACATGTCACTGAATTACATACCCTCCCACATGTCACTGAATTAGGTACCCTCCCACATGTCACTGAATTAGATTCCCTCCCACATGTCACGGAATTAGATCCCCTCCCACATGTCACGGAATTAGATACCCTCACACATGTCACTGACTAAGATATCCTCCCACATGTCACGGAATTAGATACCCTCACACATGTCACTGACTAAGATATCCTCCCACATGTCACGGAATTAGATATCCCCCCACATGTCACGGAATTAGATATCCTCCCACATGTCACGGAATTAGATATCCCCCCACATGTCACGGAATTAGATATCCTCCCACATGTCACTGAATAAGATATCCTCCCCCATGTCACGGAATTAGATATCCTCCCCTGTGTCACGGAATTAGATATCCTCCCCGTGTAACAGAATTAGATATCCTCCCCGTGTCATGGAATTAGATCCCCTCCCACATGTCACGGAAATAGATACCCTCCCACATGTCACTGAATTAGGTACCCTCCCACATGTCACTGAATTAGATCCCCTCCCACATGTCACGGAAATAGATACCCTCCCACAGGTCACTGAATTAGATATCCTCCCACATGTCACGGAATTAGATACCCTCCCACATGTCACTGAACTAGATACCCTCCCACATGTCACTGAATTAGATTCCCCCCCACATGTCACTGAATTAGATACCCTACCACATGTCACTGAATTAGATACCCTCTCACATGTCACGGAATTAGATACCCTCCCACAAGTCACGGAATTAGATACCCTCCCACATGTCACGGAATTAGATACCCTCACACATGTCACTGACTAAGATATCCTCCCACATGTCACGGAATTAGATATCCTCCCACATGTCACGGAATTAGATACCCTCACACATGTCACTGACTAAGATATCCTCCCACATGTCACGGAATTAGATACCCTCCCACATGTCACTGAATTACATACCCTCCCACATGTCACTGAATTAGATCCCCTCCCACATGTCACATACCCTCCCCTGTGTCACGGAATTAGATTCCCTCCCCTGTGTCACGGAATTAGATATCCTCCCCCGTGTCACGAAATTAGATACCGTCCCCGTGTCACGGAATAAGATATCCTCCCCGTGTCACTGAATTAGATATCCTCCCGCGTCTCTGAATTAGATACCCTCCCACATGTCACTGAATTAGGTACCCTCCCACATGTCACTGAATTAGATACCCTACCACATGTCACTGAATTAGATACCCTCCCCCATGTCACGGAATTAGATACCCTCCCACAAGTCACGGAATTAGATACCCTCCCACATGTCACTGAACTAGATACCCTCCCACATGTCACTGAATATGAGATATATCCTCCCCCGTGTCACGAAATTAGATACCCGCCCCCTGTCACCGAATTAGATATCCTCCCCGTGTCATGGAATTTGATACCCTCCCACATGTCACGGAAATAGATGCCCTCCCACATGTCACTGAATTAGATACCCCCCCACATGTCACGGAATTAGATATCCTCCCCCGTGCCACGAAATTAGATACCCTCCCCGTGTCTCGGAATAAGATATCCTCCCCGTGTCACTGAATTAGATATCCTCCCCCGTCCCTGAATTAGATACACTCCCACATGTCACGGAATTAGATATCCCCCCACATGTCACGGAATTAGATATCCTCCCCTGTGTCACGGAATTAGATATCCTCCCCGTGTAACAGAATTAGATATCCTCCCCGTGTCATGGAATTAGATACCTTCCCACATGTCACGGAAATAGATACCCTCCCACAGGTCACTGAATTAGATATCCTCCCACATGTCACGGAATTAGATATCCTCCCCCGCGTCACGGAATTAGATATCCTCCCCGTGTAACAGAATTAGATATCCTCCCCGTGTCATGGAATTAGATACCTTCCCACATGTCACGGAAATAGATACCCTCCCACAGGTCACTGAATTAGATATCCTCCCACATGTCACGGAATTAGATATCCCCCCACATGTCACGGAATTAGATATCCTCCCCCGCGTCACGGAATTAGATATCCTCCCCGTGTCACAGAATTAGATATCCTCCCCGTGTCATGGAATTAGATACCCTCCCACATGTCACGGAAATAGATACCCTCCCACATGTCACTGAATTAGATATCCTCCCACATGTCACGGAATTAGATATCCTCCCACATGTCACGGAATTAGATATCCTCCCCCGTGTCACGGAATTAGATATCCTCCCCGTGTCACAGAATTAGAGTCCCTCCCCCGTGTCACTGAATTAGATACCCTCCCACATGTCACTGAATTAGATACCCTCCCACATGTCACGGAATTAGATATCCTCCCCCGTGTCACGGAATTAGATATCCTCCCCGTGTCACAGAATTAGATATCCTCCCCCGTGTCACGGAATTAGATATCCTCCCCCGTGTCACTGAATTAGATACCCTCCCACATGTCACTGAATTAGATATCCTCCCACATGTCACGGAATTAGATATCCTCCCACATGTCACGGAATTAGATACCCTCCCACATGTCACTGAATTAGATACCCTCCCACATGTCACGGAATTAGATATCCTCACCCGTGTCACGGAATTAGATATCATCCACGTGTCACGGAATAAGATATCATCCACGTGTCACGGAATTATATACCCTCCCACATATCACGGAATTAGATATCCTCCCCCGTGTCACGGAATTAGATATCATCCACGTGTCACCGAATTAGGTATCTTACCCGGAATTACATGATCAAATGTAGAAACCGAAATTTCCATGAATGCAAGACTTCAATCGTTACCATCATGGTGTCTCAATTTCCTGAGGTAACACTTCCAGGCTCATTGCATTGTGAGGTCATTCAAGAGACAGACGCAGTCAATTTGTCGATATAACTGTATTTTACAATATATGCAAAGAATTTTTTTTTTAATATTTGCATTATGTTTTGATTGTAAGATAAATATATAACAAATTAATTCCTTTCCAAATCATGTAGTGATATTTTGTTCCGATCTGTCCAGAACGACAGAATGAAAATGGGCCAAACTTCCCCTGTCTATCCGATATCCGGCAGGGGTTTGGGAGGAATGAGGAAACCTTAAGCTTTACCAGAGACGTAATATACGTATCTGGCAATACATATCTATAACGTCTCTGAGTGTACAGAAAACTGTATTTTAATTCATGTGTGCCCGCTGACTATGTCTCACCTATTTCAAATTAAATAGCAGCATATGAAGCAATACCAGTTTATTTATGACGTACACGTCGTATTTTAAAAGAAACTTACGCAATATCATGTGAATTACAAAAGATCATGTGCCCTAAAAAAATAACGACACAACTCCTAAAACTAACGTTAACGTTTACTTAATCTTTTGAAATAAATTATTCTCAATTATTTGAAAATACAAAGTTTTCATATTAAATGCAGATCATATTTGTATATGATATATATACATATGTCGTTATTACGCAAGACTATGTGGTCTGATATAAATATAGCTAATTTCGATTGGCAATCCTAGCGACCATGTAAACATCATCATTATCGGTTTAACGCTTGTAAGAAAGTGCGGAATACAAGGTTTTAAGTAACCTCGACCATATCGCTTGGTTGAATGATTTCCACTCGATTCTCATGATACGGGTACGTCGACGTCGTTCGTAACTTTAGGAGGGTACCGTTTAAGTAAGTTTAACTTGTGATTTTGACACATATTACATATTTTAAATTCTACGGTTATTTAAAGTATGTTGACTATAGTCTTTGCAAGACTGCAGTAGGCCTTGATTTAAGTCATCATAGCTTTATGTGATGAGTGATGACCCACCCAGCGTCTAATAAGGCGAATCAGCTATTTCGAAATATTCCCGACCATTGTCATCAGTGAGGAGCTAAGTATACGTGTTATAAGTTGATTTGCAGACCAATTCTTAGCTTGTCGTTGTTTTTATTGCTGACGCACTAATGTAAGTATACGATTTTCATCGGGAATTCTCAATTTCCTTGTAAATATAACGAGTCCGGAAGCAACAATTGATTCTACTGTAAATGCTAGTACAAATCATGACCCTAAGACATCAAGGTAAGATAAGTGTATAATGTTCCTTCATAGTTCCATTGAAGATTTCAACTCAAGTGTATATGAACATGTACAGGACTTTAGCATATGCTTTGCGTATTTATTCCATATCTAGGCTAAATGTTACTAGTCTCTGTGGTTTACTAATGGTACTTGTAACATTCTATATAGATCTGTGTTATTATCACCTTTTTTCCTTTCTCTATAAAGCATTTACAGATTGAGCAGACCAGGTACCAGAGCTCTAGGAAACTGATCACTGTATTGGTTAGAAGGCGTCGGGTCGTTTCGGTAACAAGTTGTTTCGGGACATTTTTTCGGGTCGTATGACTTCTGTAGATACCATTGTCTTTTTTCTTAAAACTTATTTTAATGTCAACTAAATTTAGACAATCGATTGGATAAAAATTATTACAATTTATCATAGCCTTCTCCCTTCATACATTTACCATTACATGATTTTAATAACACATGAATAAATATTATATTCACACAGACACAATTAAATACACAACATAAAAACATCGTTCAAACTATATTGCTGGATTTGATGAATTGATTCACACGTCTAAAATATATTCTACGTGTTTCCACAGAATTATCTAAGTCAGTGGTGTTTCACATTTTTACTTTCATGAAATTTAATTTCAATATAGCAAAAATAAAATGCTTAAAACATTGTTAGAATCAATGTTAACTCATTCGTTTTTTAATGTCAATAAAAATAACGGAGAATTAGGTGAATAAATGAAAACATATTATGGGGAATTAATCTATCAGTAATGAAAGAAATTGATATTGAATATCATAAGATCCCCTAGATCTGTATTTATTAATTAGATTGATATTAGTTTCAGCAGGTAGCAACACACTGTCAATCGGGTAAATGTTGGTAGGTATCCCCTCAAGCACTAGCAATCTGTTAACACTATAATGATCCTAAGCACGGGTAGGTCGTGATACAGATGATAGACTAAAACCATACTTGTTTATTTACATGACTTTTTATGAAGCAGGAGCAAAAGGTTATTTATAAATGAAATTGTATATGTCCCGAAACGACTTGATTAAGTCCTGAAACGACTTCGGGACTCCCTAAACGACTTGTTACCGAAACGACCTGTTACCGAAACGACTAGCATTCAATTAGAACTTACTACACTTTTAAAACAATCTGGTTTTTTTATCACAAGACTATAGCTAGGACCTGATAATTTATAGGTACACGTATATCAGGACTTTTACTGAAATGTTTGGCGTAATTTTTACGCAATTTAGGGGTTATTTTGGTAAAAAATGCCATCCCAGCGTAGTTATAAGTACCATTAATTGGTAGTGATGGGCAATAGGTTAAAAATTATAATCGATTTGTAATCGGAAGTAGTAGACCAATCAATGATTGATTGCATGATCGGTTTATAATGTTATGGGACTGAATACCGTAATAAAGGGAGAACACAACTGTTACATCAATAGACAGTGGTTCACTATACATTAGGTTTTGTTCTGATATAATGTATGCATATCAAGCAACTTTTATGCATTTTTATCAATCATAAGAATATATGACTTTAAAAGCATACTTTACATGGAAAACTTAAATCCTGATGAACTGTTTATATCGATTATGGACTTTGTAATAGAGAATTGGAAAGGGCAAACCGATCATTTTTTTTTATTATAATCGATCATCAGCCCATCACTAGTAATTGGGGTGGTAATTTTACCAGAAGTTGATCTAAACTCCTAAAACATGTTAAAATTATTCTTGAACATTTTACGGTAGTTTTCCTTTCCTGTTACAAAAACACAAATATTGTTGGCTTGAGCAAGTCTATGCACATCTGTTCAGACTTACTCAAGTCTTTATATGAAAACTACAGAAATAATTCTGTTTTTGCCAGAAGGAAATAGCAGCAGATTGACCGGTTAGACCTGTACATGCATGGGGTTGACATGGCTTGGTCCCCAGTAAAGGCATATTTTCTTTTCAATATTTCCTTTCTGTTAACCATTTTCTCCCTCCATTTCCAGCAACACACAGCAATATGGCAGAACAAAAACCAGTGATGCAGCAACCCGGTCAGCAGCCACCGCCAGCGCAACAACCACCTGGTCAGCCTTACGCTGGACCACCACCTGGTCAGCCTAACGCTGGACCACCACCTGGTCAGCCTATGCAATATTACAACTATGGTCAAGCTCCACCTGGAGCCCAGCCTCCAGGTATTGTAGTCATCCAGTCAAGCCCTTCCAACACCGCTCCATGTGTTACTCTGCTTTTAAAATTTAGTTTATATATATTTAAAAAGAAGGCATGCATGTTCACCTATTCATTGACTAAGGCATGTTTTGAGGGATATATTTGGGTGTTATCCTATCAATATCTATATTTAGTTTATTATATACAAATATGCATATATATTGAAAGGCAACATATACATAGAGAAAATCATTAGCATGTTTTGACAATCTAACCATGCATGCTGTGCATTTTAAATTCATAATTGATGGTATGTATGTATATGTATTAACTTGAACCATGGCTTTTATATGCAAACAAATAGTACTGCTTGTTATTTTTAGTTCATGGTTTCAATACTTTTCAACAGTGATTTTTTTTCGGATACACAGTATATAACATTGTATATATATATACATGTGTTTGATAAAGTCAAATTACAAGTCTATTTCAGACACTCATATTTAAGTTAAGATAAGATTATGATAAATTGTTATATATAGTATAATGACAGCTACAAATTAAAGTTGATTATTATAATTTATAACTGGTTGATGGTATACATACACATGCCTTAATTCAAACTTTATTTATTTTACAACAATATTGAAACAAGTTATATTAATTTCTCTCGTTTGCCAGGATGAAAATGCACATGTATGGGGTTTTAGATATGGTATTGAGAAATTTGAGCACTCATAGAAAACCACATACATGTATACACTTTCATGTCCTATTATAATCTATGTATTAGGTAGTGTTGCACAAATAAAAAAAATTGCTTGAACAGTATCTAGTTAAAAATTTGTATGGTTCACCATAAAAAAGCCACTGAACCCTTTCACCCCTATGTAACTTTAGTAGACTCTACCATGCATTGATCTGGATGAGTCCATTATGGTCTACAGTGGTGAAAGGGTAAAGTGCATAATAAAGCTTAGCATCAAAGTGAAAACCATTAATTATAGATAAGATTATACATTATATATCAATCTTGTCAAATCTGACCATTTCAGCTTTTAAAAAATTAATTTGTGAGTTTAAAATCATCCACATGATGAAATATTGAGAGTATTTTAATGAAACTTTTTGTGATAAAGACTGTAAGATTAGAGTAGTTTCAATTAACTAATTAACCCCTGAAGACACATTTGAACTCTTCCAATTCAAAGGTTGGAATAGTTCATTATGAAATTTCAGGAGTGAATGTCATGAGTTAAACCTAAAACCTATCTTTTACCCCTCAGGTAAAAATGTGTGTTAATATAAAATTGGTTATAAGTATGAGTAAAAATGTATTAAAATGTATCTAGATCACTGCTCAGTTATAAGATATTAAGTAGAAATGAATCTCTGTTGGATGGTTTGCAGAGTCATTGAAAAATAAAACAATGAAAAAAATGGACGAAATATCATTATGGCAGTTTTCATAATTAATCAAATTCTTCAAAAATAAGAATAAATAAACAGTTTTCCTGATCCGTATCATAATATTGAGTGCTTGTATAGTCTTTCAGGAAGTTAAACAATATTCAAGGGCTTGTATAGTCTTTCAGGAAGCTAAGCAGATTGTTTTTGTCTAATACAAATAAAAAGGACAGGAAACGGCATAAGTGTGTAAGGAAGTACAGAGTGGATTATATATGTCATTATACGACTGTATATATGTATACAGTGTAGTTGGTGTCGGGGTCATGTGTTTTTCAGAAGTTAATTATGCTAATTATCTTACTTTAAGTCTTCAGTGTTCAAAGATCACCAATGGGGTGTGGTACTTAAACTTATGAACTGGGAATGCTAAGTTTGGATGAACAAAGACTGGTTAGTGGGTTGAACGGAGAATCTCAAGTAGGGTGAATGAACAATGGTTAAAAAGGATGAACAGAATGTTGAGTAGAATGAACATTAACTGGTAGCTTACAGGTAGACATTAAGTTAAAAATTAAAGTAGGTTGAACAAAATTTAGTTGAAGTTGAATGAACAAAAAATGGTTAAATAATAGGCAGAACACAGAATATTGTGTAGGGTGAACGTAAAATTAATGTCACACGCGCGCAAGTAGTGTGTTCATGGACTATTTCATACAGAGCATATATAGGGTTTTAATTGAGACTGTTATGTGGTAGTAGGGTGTACAAAGAATGTTACTCACTTCTATGAAATAGGGATGAACAGAAAATAGTTGAGAAGCAGAAACAAAAGATTGTTGAGTATAGGTTGAATAAAATGTAGTTCAAGTTGGGTGAACAAAAAATGGTAAAAAGGCATAACAAGGAATATCATTAAGCGTGAACAGAAACTGTTATGTGGAAGTTTGGTGTACAATGAATGTTACTTATACTTACTGATATAAAGTGGACAGAAAATGGTTAAGTTATAAGCATGAACAGAAAATGATAATTAGGGTAGGGTGAACATGGTGTGGTTTAAGAGAAGAATGAACAAATCAATGGTAAGTAGGGTGAATGGAGGTGGAGCCCATGATGTGAGACGGCAGGGCTTGCTTTGGATAAGTACAGTACCTATATATATTTCCTACTTAACAACAGAAACCTACTAGAACACCATCTATTTTGCTGTTAAACTGCACAGTCTACAGATTTTCTAAAATGCTTGTAATTAGCCTGCATATTAATAAATTGTAATTAGCATGCATATTACAGTATGTAATCAATTGTAATTAGCACGCATATTAATCAATTACTGACAAATTCTACAGAAACCAAATTTAACAGTACTAACATCAGTGACTCTCTCTGTCTAATACCTGTATCAGTAATGTATTTAAATAAGATAATTCTTGATTAATACACCTGCGAATATGAGAATGTATATGTAGTGAATTTATTTTTAAATTGAATTTTGGTCAACAGTCAGCACCCATTCCTCATGGCCATGGGAAAAAATATAATGTAAACAACATTTAGTTTAGAAGAATAAGGACTTCTCTGGTCTTTTATATGACAGTGGCGGATCCAGAGGGTTTTTTTGAGCTTCAGGCCCCCCCCCCCCCCAGATAGGTCTTTGGATCTGCCACTGAATGATATTATATTTTCAAGTGCCTCCTTTAAGTTAAGTCTAGATCTGCTCCCCCAAGAATAAGTTACATGCAATAGCTTGTACATGTAGATTATACTTGAGCATGATCTCATTCAAATAAATATATCTATTTTTAATCGTCCTTCATTTGATATCCTGTAAAATATCAATAGTAATGTTTAAAGCTAAGCTTATGAGATTATATATATAATATATAATAATTCTTAGTACATGTATTAAGTACATGACGTTTATATACAAAACTAATTTTGAACCTTTGTTGATTATATACGTGGTGCTACATGGGGAAATTATAAGTGTTTTTATGGAGGGAAGCTTTCCAGGTTTATGGAAAGAATATGCATTGTGTATATTAAGTAAAATAGAACATCACTCTGTTTATTTCGAAAATATGCGTAAATGATTAAATCAATAAATGCTACTTTTTTGGCCCCCAAATCCATCGAAATTAAAAGTCTTCAATATAACTTTCAAATTACTGTTTCTTAATTTCGAGTACTTCCCCGGTACTATTATGTACATTTATTTGTGTTTTCAATTATGGCTGCTATGGTAACCAGTTAATATTTACATAAATTTATGAAATTTGAATATTCATTCAATTTTGACAGGTTTTCGCTTAGTTTTTCTCTTAGCTACCATAAAGCGCACACTTGAAATAACTTGATATTCTCCTAAAGATGCCTACACATTATCTTTTCATTTTAAGTTTGTTCAAGCATTCACTCTATACTTTTCAGGAGAAAAACTATGCAAAATATGACAATATTCACTGAATATCAATTTTTTTTTAGAAATACAAATAGATATTTTCATGATAGTATTTGGGAAGTATTCCAAATTAAAGAAACAGTCGTTAGAAAGTTCATTTAAAGGTTTTGAATTTTTATGCACTTGTGGGCCAAAACACGCCCAAACCATACATAGTCCTTCCGGAGTCCAAAAGTTACTTGCATTTATCTCATATTTGGCATGCATTCACACTTATGCTCCTGAGTTCTACTTGTGCACTTGTAAATGAATTCCTGGCAGTGGTTTATATATTGATGAGGTGCCTCAATGGTATTTATTGATTTTGTGTTGCACTATGGTCCTCTATTACTGAGTCAGGACAGTAGCTGTCACAAAGGTCCTATAGCTAGTTCAAACAGTCTATTCATCAACATTGATTGGCAGCAGGCATATATTGAGTTTCACTAGAAATTTTCTGTATAATGTACAATGTACAGACCTTCTGTTACATATACCCAATAGTTGTTCAGGTGGTAATCGGAGACAGACTTTGTGTAGCTTATATTATAATATGCATGTGTAACGTGCTGGCGGTCACCAATCCAACTACTGACCACGCTCAACGTTGCTGAACTAGTGAGCGAGTCCCCGGGTTATACTGCATCACAGGAAAAGCTAGCTTGCCAGTAAGGCAATATTTTCCCCTCATATACTTTAGCTTAAATACACATGAATTTAAATCATTTAGAAACTGTCTAAGCTTTTAGTAGAATTTTGATCCTGACAGTCGTTCCCATGCAAACTTATAATCACAGGTACTAGCCTTGTCTGTCAGTACACCCATTATAGTATCTAAATTATCATCGTCGGTCAGTACACCCATTATAGTATCTAAATTATCATCTTCGGTCAGTACACCCATTATAGTATCTATATTTTCCTTGTCTGTCAGTACTCCCATTATAGTATTTATATTATCATTGTCTGTCAGTACACCCATTATAGTGTTTATATTATTCTTGTTGGTCAGTACGCCTATTATAGTATTTATATTATCCTTGCCTGTCAGTACACCCATTATAGTATTTATAGTATCCTCGTCGGTCAGTACACCCAGTATAGTATTTATATTATCCTCGTCGGTCGGTACACCCATTATAGTATTTATATTATACTTGTCTGTCAGTACAC